AAAATTTCTTCTCCCCTATTCCAGTACACCAAACTTTTAAACAAATCTTATACATCCCTCCAGTTTTCCCATTTTCATCAGTATCTCTTTATTCATGCCTTCATTGCATTGCAGGACTTTTGCAGTGAATAGTCTTTAAGGTATCTTCAATCATTATTTTCCTTCTCTAATGAACCTACACTACTGTTACATCCACTTAAATGACTCGTGGCAATCCTCCTGCCTCAGCCTCCCAAGTGCTAGGATTATAGGCATACACCACCATCCCCAGCTCCCAGCCCTGTTTTTTATAATGTTTAATCATTCTGTAATTCAGGTTGACTATCCTTTATCCAGAATGCTTAGAACCAGAAGTGTTTCAAACTTTGGAACAGTTCAGGTTTCAGATTGTTGCATTAGGGATAGGGATTCTCAACCTGTAGTTGAAATAGTTAAAATTTTAAACTAAATATACATTTTTTCAATTCTAAAAAATCTTTTTAAGTGCACACCTCCTAGCACCCTGGGACACTGAGGCAAGTTTGAGTCCAGCCTGAACAACTTCGTGATATAGCCAGCCCCTGTCTCAAAATTTAAAAAAATAAGAAAGAAGGGCTGAGGATTTAGCTCAGAGCAGAGGCCTTGGGCTCAATCCCCAGTATGCAAAAAAATTAAATTTTAAAAATTATATAGTAATTATGGGAGAAAAATACCTGAAATATATATGCTTGTTTGTTTCAATTAACTGATACAGTTTAATTAGTTATTGGATGCAGCAGTATAGTCATTCTGTGATAGAAAGATCAATAATTTGATGAAGTATCCGCTTCTTTTGTCTATAAATAACAATTCCTTTTTTATTTATTTTTAAAATAGCTAAATATATTGGAAAAAGTTTTAAATTTTAAAGATCTTTACTACTTTTTCATCTCTTTACTACTTTTTTGCATATTACCTTTCATTTTCATATACTTTGTGCGTGTGTGTGTTTGTGTGTGTGTGTGTGTGTGTGTGTGTGTGTTACCGGGCATCTAACTCAGGACCTTACGCTTGCAAGGCAGGCTGGTGCCACTTAGCTAAATCCCCAACTATTTTCATATGCTTTAAGTTGTAGTCATATATTGTTTTGTAATCTACTATTTTTCTAAATATCATACCATAAATATTTTAACATTTTCATGATTCTGCAAAAGTATCTATTATTTTATATTTTAATGTCTATGAAATATTTAGTGGCTATACCATAGCTTAGATCTCACTAATAATACCAAACAAAAAAATAGTGTACATGTGTATTTTAAATCATTTCCTTAAAATAAATTCATTGAAATAAACAGTATATTAAGGTCAAAGCATTTAGTAATGATTACTATTAATTTTCCTAAAAGTTGGACATATTCACAATGTCACCAAACAACTGAGATAACCAATTTTTCCAAAGATTATTAATACCAAAAAAGCCTATTTTCTGTAAAGGTGTAATTTACTTTAATTTGTATTTCTTTAGTTATTTCAAAATATTTCTTAGTATTTGCTTCTCTTTTGAAACAATAAGATATTAGTTAAATATAAAATGATAATCGAGTCATGCAGTGGAATGTTCCACACTTGTAGACAAGTGATTTGGGAGGCGAAAGCAAGATGAATTCAAGGCCAGCCTGGGCAACTTACCAAGACCTTGCTTCAAAATAAAATTTAAGAAAGGGCAAGTAGAGTGCTTTCCTAGCATGCTTGAAGCCCTGGGTTCAGTCTCAGGTACCACAAATGATGACAATGATGATGTACATTTAAATATTTAGTGAAAAAAGATGTTCACTTTATATTTCTTAGTGAAAAGGCAGATTAGGAAACAGTATATATAATATGAGTCCTTTTTATGTTGTTGTTTTTAAAATAAGCTTATATGTTAGGGACAAAACTTAAAAAGACCATATATCAGTAGTATTTCACTAGCTAATGTGAGAACTGTTTTGTTTACTATTGCTAAAATTTCTGTATTTCTAAAATTTCTATAGTGAATACATGTGTGCATATATATATATATATGCATATATATATATATATCACTATACTTGTATAAAAAAATAGTAAAAGCAATGGGCCAGGGATTTAGCTCAGTGGCACTGTGCATGCCTCGCAAGCACAAGGTCCTGAGTTCAATCCCCAGTACCAAAAATAAAATAGTAAAAGCAAAACAGAGAAAACAATCTGGCAGTTTCTGAAAAAGTTAAACACAGAATTTCCATATGAACCAGAAATTCCACTCTTATATACTCCTAAGTATATAGCTAAGATAATTGAAAATATGTGTATTCAGAACTTTGTGCATGAACGTTCATAGCACCATTATTATTTATAATATCCAAATTATTATTTATAATAGCCAAAGAATGGAAACAACTCAAATGTCCATCAGTTAATAAGTTGATAAACAGATTTAATATATCCATACAATGGAATATTATTTGGCAGTGAAAAGAATAAAGTACTGGTACATGCTTATGTTGTAGCTAAACATCAAAAACATGCATAATGAAAGGAACCAACACAAAAAAGTACATAAAATATGGTTCCATTTATATGAAATGTCTAGAAAGACAAATCTGAAGATACAGTAAATTGCTGGTTGCTAAAGGATGGGTGGAAGGAGGAGTAGAAAGGGACAGCATATAGATAAAGGATTTGGGGAGAGAATGATGAACATGTTCAGAGATTGGATAATGGTAATACTATAGTTGCACAGCTTTGTGAATACTTACTAAAAAACACTGAGTTTGTACTGTAAATGGGTGAATTTTGTGGCCTGGGAATTTTATCTCAAAATAATGTTTAAGAAAAGTAAAACAAAATATTGCTATAGAAGACTGAATTTTTTTAGCAAATTAAAGTATAATTTTTCACTAAATTTTATAATTATAGTTATGGATTCCATTTGTTTTTGCAAGGCTAGAAATTGAACCGAGGGCTTTACACATGCCAGGAATATACTTTGCCACTCAGCCCCACTCCCAGCCTAGTTACAGATTTTTAAAGAATACATTTTTGCTAAAGAGATAATGATACTAGAAATTGTAAGTGATCAGGTAGCTGTATCTCCACAACCCATGCCCTTTTTAATAAAATAATCTGGACATTTTAAAGCTGATAGAGGAAAATGTTGACTTCAACTGTCAGAATTTGGCTGTGTATTTTTAATTATTTGCACTATTTTTGGAATTTTTATCCATCTTTTGATGAACAAGTATCTTTCTAATGGCTTTCAGATGGTTTTAAATGAAAGTGTATACATGTATGTATGTGTGTTTTCTCAAATAAGCTGCCCCCTCTAGATCCCATTTTATGATGTATAATTGGTTTCAATATGTTCTAGAATAATGTAAACAGTAAAATTAGATCTCAGTTTTCTTTTTATGATTGGATCTCCCTCCCATCCCTAACCTTTCTTGTGCTCCAAAATATCAAAAAGGATTACAGTATGGTAACTTCTTTTTAATTATTTCCCTAAGTATTTGAGTGCTTGATATGTGTCAAGGAATTAGGCAAAGGTTAAATACCTGGTTTCAGACAGATAAAATTATATATTTTTAAGCTACTCTAGCTGCAGTTAGGAGAGCACTTAATCCAGATAAAGATGGTTAGACAAGACTTCCTTTTACTATTAACATAATTTAAAAGTTGATATTTAAAACCAGATCACTAATCTATTGTGCACTTTTAGAGAACTGTTGAAAGTATAGCTCATGCTTTGCTCTTAGTATATCCCATTATTATATAAGCACAGAAAAAAAATGTTGAAAAAAGCCACACAGTCTATCCCCAAGATGTGTATAAGCTAAAAATCATTCTTTAAAATCCTTGCATGAATGCAAGCAATACAGATACAATGACACTGAGTGAAGGTTTTGTTTCTTCTTCTTTGACTGTTTAGCATGCATAAGACCTTTTAAACCATCAGAGCTTTAGGGCCTTTGCTTCCGCTAATAATACAGCTATTTGATTAAAAAACAAAACACTATCATGAATTTAAAGGAATTACTGTTCTCATTGGTGTTTTTAAATAAACAAGCCTATTTACTGTATATTGCTTTCTACAGAACTGATACATACTGGTACACCCATACTGGTTATATATATTGAAATTCATACTTACTGTTAGGTAAAGAGCTGCTTTCCTAAGCTGTCTAGATACCCCACCATAGCTTACCCTGTCCCAGGAATTCTACACCTCCACCTCCCCACAATGCAATAATCAAAAATTTATCCCCAGACATAGCCAGAGGCCTTTAGAACTACTCTTTCTTCTGTACTGATTGCTGGCACAGGGACCATCTCTATTCTTTTTTATACATATAAATAATAGAAATTTATTTCTCACAGTCCCAGAAGCTGGGAAGTTCAAGATCAAAGTGCTTCAGATTTGACATCTGGAGAGGGCTCATTCCTCACAGATGGTGCCTCTCACTGTGTGCATGCATGCTGGAAAGGCCAAGGCAACTTCTGTCAGCCTTTTTCTGGGTTTGTTTTTGTGTTTGTTTGTTTGTTTCTTTTTTAGGATGAGGCCTGGTATTTTTAAATTTTTATTAGTACATGTTTGCAGTACATAATGATTACATTCATTGTGAGGAATTGGTACATGTACATAACACATCTCAATTCTTTTATCTCCTTTGCCTCCACTCTTTTTAAAAAATTTTTTCTTTTTTCTCTATTTTGTTTTTGGTTTTTTTGCCAGTATCAGATAACTAATCTTTAATAATTTTTGATATCATCCTGATTTTCTGACAGTTGTAAATCATTACTGTTTGATCAATGTTTGCATTCTGCCATCTGCAGTATTAAATGGACCTAGCACACCTGTGTCATTTATCTATATAAAACAAATATTTAGAGCTTTAGTATTTTTGAGTAAGCCCAAAATATTATCATACTGTAACTCTAGTAGACTTGTAAACCACAATGCTCTTTTGTTTCAGTGTTGACAATTTGACTTAAGTTCTTTGTTCTTTTATTGTTCCTTTCAGTTCGCTTTGCACCTTATAGGCCTCCAGATATCTCCCTGAAGCCTCTGCTCTTTGAAGTCCCCAGCATCACTACAGAGTCAGTGTTTGTTGGTCGAGATTGGGTTTTCCATGAAATAGATGCTCAACTTCAAAGTTCAAATGCCAGCGTGAACCAAGGAGTGGTGATTGTGGGAAATATTGGGTTCGGAAAAACTGCCATCATCTCAAGACTGGTGGCCCTTAGCTGCCATGGTACACGGATGAGACAGATTGCCTCAGACAGTCCACATTCCTCCCCAAAACGTACGTATTCTTTTTTAAGGAATTTCCTGCTTCCTTGGCTCTGAAATTATTTTCTGACATATTTTTATGTTCAGTTACATACCCTTTTATTTTTTGATTTGTAAAGCTTGACTTGCACGTGAGGACCATTAATTCAGAGTTCCAAGAGAGAATGTAATACTCTGTATATCTGACCCACATATTTAATGGTTACCTAAATAGGACTGAAAAAAACTTTCTCATGGAATACATTTATGACTCTTCCCTGTGTCCATGTGGTTGATCTGTCCTTTGAATAATGACTACAGAACTTGCCTGTAGAGCCATTTGCATTCATCACTGTCAGAATTTGCTCAGCCTGTGCCCATTTCTTCTTGTTACTGCCAGCAGAGTCTGTTTGCAATCTTCATTTCTTTGCTGTTGATGTCATTGTTACACTGCTTGGACTTGAACTTTATTATGTCCTAGAGGCTTTCTCCTACTTCCTTTTAGACAGATGTTAAGTTCTCTTACTGTATATATCCAGGCTTCCTTTATCACAAGCTTAATGATCACCACTAGGATACTGTTTATTTTTAAAACATTCATATAGTACTTACTATGTGCCACACAGTCTGTAAGTGCTTTATAAATATTAATTCACCCAGTCCTTTTACCAATTTAGTGATGTTGTTGTCTTCATTTAACGTGTTCATGTTCCTCTTGTCTTTATTTAACAGCTAAGAATCTGAGGCTCATAGAGGTTAAGAATGACTCCCAGGTTTTAAAGCAAATAAATTGCAAAACTGAGAAATCTGGTTTCAGAAGCCATTGTCTTACCCACTTTTTTATCTGCCTCTCCTTACCTGTGAAACTCACTCAAGTAAAATATACTGGGCATGGTGGTCCATGTCTGTAATCCTAGCACTTGGGAGGCTGAGACAAGAGGATCACTGTGAGTTTGAGGCCAGCTTGGGCTACATAGTGAATTCAAGGCCAGCCTGAACTACATAGCAAGACCCTGTCTCAAAACAACAATAAAAAAAGTGTAAATGCATATTAATGTTCTTTGTATACCCACCATACATATAGTATCAGTCTGCCTGGTTTACATTAGTTACGCGAGAACAAAAAAGAAAGCTATTACTACACTAGCTTTCTAGCGTAGCGTAGCGTAGCCTAGCGTAGTGTAGCCTAGCGTAGTGTAGCCATCCTAGTAATTTGGCCTACCACCCACATTCAGATAACAACCACTAGAAATGGTTTGCACGTCATAATATTCACTGCGTCAAAAAACTTAACAAGAACTCACTGAATACCTTCCAGTTATCTTACTTCCTATTGAAATTAGTATCAAGTAGGCAGATTGGCTCTGATAAACGTACAGATATCTAACATTTAGAAAAACTAGCTTCTAAGAAGAAAGCTGGCTAAATCAAAATACTGTCTTTACCACAGTATGGTAAGAAATGGTATAGAAGAATTCTTATCTTAAGGAGAATATCATGCTTATATTCCTAATGGATCTCTTTTAAAGCAGATTGTCATAGTACTCTGGAACCCAGAGCCCAGGACTTGTGCCCAGCACTCACATTGATTGTACACTTTCTTATGACCGTGAGAATTTTACTTTATTCTTTAAATCTCAGTTTTCTTTAGAAGTATGACTAGTCAATATTTAAGACTTGCTTCTAGCTGGGTGTGGTGGCACACTCCTGTAATCCCTGCACTCTGGTGGGAGGCAGAGGCAATGAGGATCACAGGCAGTGAAGATCACAATTTTTTTTTTTTTTTGGTATCGGGGATCTAACTTGGGACCATGTGCTTGGGAGAGGATCTCAATTTTCAAACCCAGGTTAGACAGTTTGGTGACTTAGCAAGACTCTGTTTCAAATTAAAAAATAAAACAGAGGAACATAGTATGGGGATGTAGCTCAGTATAAAGACCCCGGGTTCAATCATTAGCCTAGTAAGTAGTAGTAGTAGTAGTAGTAGTAGTAATAATAGATTCTATGCCAAATTTTTGATTTTAAGAATAGCTCTTGGGCCAGGGATTTAGCTTAGTGGTTTCGCCGCCTGCTGCGCAAGCTGAAGGACCCAAGTTCGATCCCCGGTACCAAAAAAAAAAAAGAATAGCTCTTGATGGTTGAAAAGACAGCTATTTCAGTGTTTTCCTTTGAGTGCTTAAATAACACACTAAACTTTTTAATCCCAGTAGTCTCAAAGGTGAGCTGTTTTAGTGTGTCTAAAAGAAAATCAGATAGCTAATAGTCTCTGTGACTTCTTTGTATATCACTGTTGCAGATAGCAGAGTAATAGAATCATGCATGACAGGAGATAAATCCCAACCAGGGGCAAGAACTGCTTTCTCAGAAAGCAAAGGTAACTGTGTGACCCCAACAAGCCTGGGAGAGCAAGAGTTAATAGAGAAATAGCCCATGTGCTCCCCGAAGTGATATTTCTTTCTCAGGTTTTTGAGACAGAATCTTGCTATGTAGTTAAGGCTGGCCTCAAACTTGCAGACCCTCCTGCCTCAGCCTCCTGAGCACTGGGATTATAGTCATGCACCATCACACCCAGCTCCAGAGATTCTTTTAAAGTAGTTCATTAAATTACTCTCTAACACTTATTACTGTTCATCTCCCAAGAATATCAAAGCATTGGGGTACTCCCAATTCAAAAGATATGCATCTGCTGTTAAGACTGTTGATTCAGCCTGATACTTAATTTTCAAACCTTGAAAAGGAGTGGTGGTAAATAGAGTCTATGGTGATAGAGCTATCAGAATTACACAAAACCATGATTGCCTATTACAAAATGATTCTTGTGGCAATCTGTTGGTAAAATGATTAGAATGTCAAACGACATTCTACCACTCTAATCTTAAGAAGCAATAGTCCTTAAAGAGCCACGAATGCAAGCTATTTTTTAGCTTACATCTGTCGTTATTTGAGCTAGCACTAAAAGTGCTACTTGAAGCAGCAGAAATTTTTCCATGAATGAGTAAGAATGATGTCAGAGGTTGGCTTAATTTTTTAGAGTTTAACTTGTATTAAACTTGGATAGCTTTCCTAATCCTCTGTCATTGATACCAGTGATATAATTGTAATAATAATGAAAATAAGCAGAAAGTTATGGAACTTTTGATTTATCTGTCTGTGCATCATCTGTTATTCTTTCTTCTGCCTTCTCCACACTGAACAGCACTGCTACAGGTGATGTGAGCAGTTAGGCCTGCAGTACTTCATTGCCTGTCCTTCCTTTCATAGGTACCTCCCTCAGCCTGCTCCTCTTTGTCATTTCCCTGGGCAGGTGCAGAAAAGCTTCAAGGTATGCACTAGCCTATTATCCTGCTTCCTGCCTACTTTCCCAAATCTGAGTCACCCCTCATTCTCTGCAATGTCACCCACCTACCCACAAACCACATAAACCCAAAGAACAAAAACATTTTGTGGAAATAGACCCATTGTGTAATTCAGACATTATTACAGTAACTGTAGGTATACTCAGTACAGTAGTTAGGGAAGTTCTAATACAAGACTATATTTTTTCTACCACTAAAATCTTCCAATGTGGTTACTTGGATTTGACATTTGTTAACAGCTGCCAAGCCCAGAAAGAGTTGCTAAGTAACTCTTTCCCTACTCTGCTCATTTCAGAAGTCTCTTTGCCATTTGCTGTACACACTGACTACCACTTACCTATCAGCTCATTTCTACTGTTCTCTGAATACCAAATAGAAACTGAGACACTTGGACAAAAAAAGAAGGGCATCCCTAAAAGGGAATAGCTGAAATAAAGAGTATTTGGAAAGTAATTACCCAAAAAATCAAATTCCAGACAAAAGGGAATTGAGTGACGGGAGAGAAATGAGCAGCAGAAGTAATACAGTGACAGACAAATCACTGAACTTAACCTCAACTCAAGATGTCATGCATGTCTTCAGACTTGTTTACCTGCCATCTCCTGTACCCACCATCCTACAGTTATTCAGAACTATTCAGTTGTATGGAAGACATCTAAATTCACTCTTAGTGGTAGGCAGTTAAATGAAGGCTGCCTTCCTCTATTCCTTCTTTTCAATAGCTAATTGTCATCAAATATTCACAGATATTTATTTTAGTATTTAGTATCTTTTAAGTATGATCTTATTCTGAAATATAGCCTGTAATTTTAGCAATAAGAAAGCATTTTCTAAATACCAGGAACAAATGGAATTTTTAAAAATATTATGGAGCCTCAGGAGGCTGAGGCAGAAGGATCATAGATTCAAGGCCAGCTTGGGTAACATAGAAAGACCCCCATCTTAAAAAATCAAATTTAAAAAGTCATATGGAGCCATAATTTACAACCCATACAACTCGCCCATTTAAAGTGTTCAATTCATTATTTTTAGTATAATCATAAGGTTATATAGCAGTGCTCATCTAATTTTAAAACATTTTTATCCCACTGAAAGAAACCCATGCTTCTTACTAGGTAAATCCCTGTTTTCCTTGTAATGCCCTACCTCAAGCCTTAGGAAACCCCTAGTTGACTTTCTGTCTCTGGAATTCCCTATGCTGGGCATTTCATATAAATAGAGTTATACACTGTATGTGTCTTCCATCCCAATCCCCCAGTGCTGGGGCTTGAACCCAGTGCTTGACACTGAGCTACATCCTCAATCCCAGGCTTGTTTTTTTGAAACAGGATCTGGCTGTGTCACTAAGTTGTCATGCTGGGCTCAAATTTTCAATCCCCTTGCCTCAGCCTCCCAGAGTACAGGGATTACCAGCATGTGCCATCACACCCAGATATGTAGTCTTTTTGACTGACTTCTTTGGTTTAGCATATAATTTTCAGGGATCATCTGTGGTATAGTGTCAGGAGCCATTCTGTATAATTTTGGGGAAAAAAACATTTCACAATTAAATTATGATTAGGGCTGTATGAGGCCCAGTCTTATTGCCTGTGGGCCAGCTGTGGCATGCCAAAACATAACTCCATTTTGCTTCCTGTCCCAGCTGAGGCCTCAGTGGTCTCGTGATGCTGTGACACTCAAAGGCAAGAAAGATTACATCAGCTGAAGACATCCTGGTTCTTTGAGAACTGAGTATTAACACAAAAACAGAAAGGTTTCACCGGGGAAAGAACAAATTTCTTATCAGCTTAACTCATCCCACCTGCTGTTGTAAGAACTTTTTTTTGTTTTTGTTTTTGTTTTTGTTTTTGTTTGCTCATCTTACTGTCCTAATCAACATAAGCTCCTCATGGACCTAAGCTCCTCATCAGCATAAAATCCTTATAGGATTGCCACCAGCCTCCTAGACATCATATACTTCCTCCAGTTATAAGATCCTCATCAATTTAGGATTATTGCCACCCTCTGAGTCATTTGATACTCCCCTATGAGCCCAATAAATAATGCCAAGCTCAGAGTGCCTTTGTCTTTGCTGTCTGTAGCAGCACTGATCATGCCCAAGACCCAGCCTTTTCTCTGAGTCTCGTTTCCTGTCTTTATTCTCTAATTAGCCTTGCACTGTTGTGGCTCACAGGATACCAGGAGCCACTACAGAGGTTCTAGTAATGTCCCTTTTTCCATTCCCTATAGTATAGGCATGTATGAGTGTCTCATTTTTATTTATTACTACAAGTAGTAGTTCATTGTATGGCTGTCTCACAGTTTATTCATCAGCTAATGAATATTTATTTCTAGTTTTGGCTATTTTGAGTCAGACTTCTCTGAACATTTGTGTATAAATTTTTCTGTGGACATGTGTTTTTGTTTCTCTTGGGTGTATAGCTAGGAGGGGAATTGCTGGGTCATACAAAAAATGAAATTTAACTAACCTCCCCTTTATTTCAGAGTTTTATGGTTATCTGATGCAAACATTTCATCTTTTTAATCCAGATATAGATGCCAACAGAGAGCTCCCACTCACACAGCCAACTTCAGCCCACTCATCCATCACCAGTGGAAGCTGCCCAGGAACCCCAGAAATGCGCAGGCGGCAAGAGGAGGCTATGAGAAGACTGGCCTCACAGGTACAGTAGGATTCCCAAGTTGGGGATGTGCTAGTTCCATTTCAGTGTCAAGGCAAATATGGAGACACCCTTGGCAAAGTGAATAAAAATATGTAAAAATATACCATGGAAACATGGAGAAGAGTTTCTGGCTGTTTGGGTTTTGGTTTTAACTCTTTAGGGAAAAAAAATACTTTATTATAATGGGATCAGAACCTTGGAGCTGGAGAGACTCTTAGAAATAAGGTCTTAATGAATAGATTAAGGAAGTTGAGACTCAAAGAAGTTGTATGGTTTACCCAAGATTACAGAATAAGTTATCAATATTTTTAAATTTCTATTCCTATCTCAAAACTCTTAGTTATATTATACTGTCCATGATATTTTTTGTTTGGGTTGAAAATCCCTTTTTTCCTCAAAGTAATGTGCACATAGAAAATCAAGTAATACTCAGAACCAGCAATTTACTTCCTCTGCTTAACTCATCTTTATATGCTGCTATAATTTTTCTTATTCCTTTTCATATTATCTCTTGCTTCTTATTGTAAATAAGTATAGCTCTTTGACCTTCCTCCATCATCCCAATTCAGTTATATCATAATACATGGCTGAATCACTACTCTAGCATTTTCAGTATTAATACCATGCAATCATGGTTCACTCTTGAGCCAAGAATAACATTTCCTTCGTGAGCAAATTATCTCCTTCCCGGCATTTATATAAAATGCCTCGCTTTAAAATGTGCTTATTTTTCTTCAAACCTTTGGCTAAGTTATTCCATAATCCTTAATATAGCTTTATGAAATGCCACTTTCTACACTTATCAATTACATTTTCTTTTCCCTAGATAAAATCCATCTTGTAAATAAATCTATTTACACCTGGAGATAGGATATGTTCAAGTTTACACTACACATTGTACAAGAAATGTCCCTATAGGTTAAAATTTAATATTATCCCAATAAATTCACTACATATTACAGTTTGTATTGTGGAAGCATAGAACAGAAGCCAACAATCTTGCCTCTCACTATAAGAAACTAGTAAGCAGACATTAATTTTTTTCCATATCTTTTTTATTAGTGCATATTGGTTATTGTCTTAAGTCACTTTCCTCATTCCTGGGACAAAATATCCAACACCCGGAACTTAAAGGAGGAGAGATTTATTTTGGCTCACAATTTAGTCCATAGCTGGCCAGCTCCAAAGCAGGAAGGCATGGTGGAAAGGCCTGGGCAGAGGGAAGTTGCTCATGTCATGGCAGCCAGGAAGAAGAGAAAAAAGGGAGGAACCAGGAAGAGAGATACACCCTACCAAGCCTCTGATCCATGTCTTCAGACCAGGCCCCACCTCCTAGCCTCACATTAAGCTGTAGCACCCCCGTGATCCAGTCCTCTTCCAGAAGCCCCACTGATGAGCACATGAGGCTGTTGGAAGATATCTAAATATAGACTGTAACAGTTATACAGATTAATGGGTTTCATTTTGGCAGATTTGTATGTCACATACTTTAATCATTCTTCCCTCCCCTGTAGTTCCTCTTGCCCTACCCTTACCCTAATTTTATATTTAGGTGGGGCTCAATGCATATATTTTAATCATATCCATGCCTCCATTATCTACCTTTACACCACAGTCCCCCTCTTCCTTATCAGACATTAACTTTTTAAATGAGATTTTTAAATCAGTATTTTGATGCAGTAACCCAGTATAAAACTTTTTTAGGACTTCTTCTTGTAGTTCTTTGTGTCAGTTCTGATATATCAGTAATTACCATTGGTATTTCATAGTATTCTTGCTACTACTTATCTGCTAACTAATAGAGAACTCTGAAGAGTTTTTGTAACTCTAAAGCAATTTTATTTGTTGAAGAAACACTTTACACTTGAAGTATAATAGGTTTTATTAGGTCAGCATCACTCAAGTGAATATCCAGTCAACATTGCATATTTCTTTGTTCTTTTAGGGAGGTGGATGTTGAGACAGCATCTCGCTATGGACTTTAGACTTGCTTTGAATTCAAGGCAGTCCTCCTGCCTCAGCCTCCAGAGTGCTGGGATTATAGGGGTTCATAGCCACACCCAGACTTTGTTTATTTCTGAAATATGATTCAGAGTAGAGAGATACAGGAATCTCATTCAGGGACCCTTCCTAGATATGTGAATTCAATCATAATAACAGTAGTTTTCTAGGTTTTGGATCTGTTACCACCATGTCTTCATGCATTATTTGCATGACAAGGAGATAATGCCTTCTATTTACTGAGGACTTAATAAGTGTTGGGGCTCAGTATCGTATTTTTTTGTTATCTCATCTCTTCATTCTTATCTTAATCCTTTGAGGTAGTCATTATTATCCCCATTGCAAGTAAGGAAACTATAGCTTCAGTGATTTTAAATGGCAGAGCTAGGATTCAAAGCAAATATTTTCCTCTGTAAATGACTACTGTTATTATTCTCATTCTGTAAACAAGGAATCAGAGTCTTCAAAAATAATTAGCTTGCCTGAAAATCTAAGTCAAGATTTAAAACAAGACAGGCAGGCTCCAGAGCCTATGCTTTTGGCTAGTACTGACTCTCTAGTGTGATGGGAAGGATTTTTATTTAGTGTGCTTTTAGAAAAATCTATCAATCATTGAGTGAGACCTCAAAGCAGGAAAATTTTACTAGCCTAAAGTTCTTCAAATAAAGGTTTTTATGCAACTTGCAGCTCCTGTCACATTAGGCAAGTTGTCACTGACTTAGTCCTTAGAGTAAGAAGCTAATGCATATAAAGTAAGCTAACTAGAGAAACCAGCTAATTTGAAGAAGTATCACAGACTGAATGCAAAGGTTTTTTTCCTCCCAAAGAAATTAATGTAAGAAAAAAGAGAAATGTCATTCTTGCCAAGACACTAGTACTATACCATATCAGGGACATGTCAGATGATCATAGTTCTTGAGGTTGTTGCTGCTACTGTTAAAAACTATCAGCCAAAGAAGTAATTTTTTTCAGCAATCCTCTAATATGGAGCATGTTAAACATAGTATATAGATAGAAGCTAGACACCTGTGCACATGCATGGAGAGAGGTAAGAAGGGAGACAAAATATTAAACAACAGTGAATTATAAAATTTAATTTATGTTGCTATGGCTATTTTTCAAAGATTTACATTTAGGAGATACGAGATTTAAACTCACATAATGTTGTATATAATTTTTCTGGGGCTTTTCTACTCTGAAGTTTTATAGTCAGATCCAGATAGCGTTTACATTCAGGATACTAGATATGGAAAAACAACCTTGTTATGTATTCATGAAGACCAGTGTCTTTAAATATGCCTCTTCCACTAGGATGAGTCAGTGTTTAAATGTTCTCCACTATATCTCCAACTCTTCATGCAATGCTTGGCATATAAGTATTTGTTAAATGAATGAATTCTAAACTCTTCTCCATATTGAAGTCTGAGTGATCTTTCCAAAGCGTATATTGATTTATGCTACTTAAAACCAGCAAATGAGCTAGGTGTGGTGGCACATGCCTGTAATCCAACCACTCAGAAGGCTGAGGCAGGAAAATCGTTGTGAGTCTGAGACCAGCCTGGGGTATATAGTCAACTCAAGGCCAGCCTGAACTAGTGATACTCTGTCTTAAAAAATAAATAAAAAGAGAAACAAAGAAAGAAAAAACAGCAAATGTCTTCTTGTTGCATTTGAATAAAATCAAAACTCCCTTCTTAAAACATCACACAGGGACTGGGGGTGTAGCTCAAGGGTAGTGTTGCCAAGGATACACAAGGCGGCCAGGGATTTAGCTCAGTGGTTTTGCCGCCTGCTGTGCAAGTGCAAGGACCCGAGTTCGATCCCTGGTCCGGAAAAAAAAAGAAAAAAGAAAAAAAAAGGATACACAAGGCCCAGGGTTTGATCACCAGTACTGGAAAAAAAAAAATAGTAAATGGAATATCATATGAACTATAATGAAAGGGTCTTTGATTTTTGTATATCTAGTCCCAGGCTAAATATTTAGACCAGTCAATTCTTTATGTGTGGGACTAAGAAAATGTCAAGTGTTGTTCTGTATGATGTAGAATGTTAAAAATGTTGTTGACCTTTAACCATTACCCATGGCATTTTCTCAACCCCCAATCATGATAATTGAAAATGTTTCTAAATATTCTCAGGGGAGCAAAACCATATTCCTCCCAGTTGAAAACCCACCGTACCCCACTTACATTAGCCACACTAAAATTGATTTTAGTTCCTTGAAAGTACAAATCTATGTCTTGCCTTAGGGCCTTTGTACATGCTCTTTTCATCTTGTCTCTACCTGGAACAGTGCTACCCCCATACTCACTCCTCATCCTTCATATCTCAGCTTAAATATTGATTGCTTTTTGGTTTTTTGAGACAGGATCTCCCTATGTAGTTCAGGCTGGCCTTAAACTCACCATGTAGCCTAGGCTGGCCTCAAACTCGCAGTGATCCTCCTGTCTCAGCCTCCCAAGTGCTAAGATTACAGGCAGGTGCTACCATGCCTAGCTAATAGTGCTTTTTCTGAGAAGCCTTCTCTGGCTCTCCTCAGTTACCTTAAGGTGTCCCAGCTTTCTATTTTTCCAGCACCCTATATTTCTTCTTTCATAATACTTCTCTCATTATTATTATTGTTGAATTGCCTGTCTTTCCTGCTTAACTGTGAAAGACAGACAGGGATTATATTTCTAGAACCTTAGCACAAAGCCTAGCATACACTGGAAGTTTTAATATTTGTGAATGGATATAAATATCAGTATTTTCTATTATGAAATTTTCAACCATTTAGTTAAGTGCTTATTTGTAATAATGGTTTTCAACCAACTTATTATGCAAATCAATAAAGTTCTTGTTCTCCAGAAATGAATCTTGATAGTCTAGAATTCTACCAGACTATTCTCTGAAATAGAGTTTACAAACTATGAATTAAATGTCCTAAGCCTGTTCCTTTTGCACCAGCTCTAATTTTATAGGAATCCAGATGAAGTACATTAGTCACTTTCTTTTTTTTT